TAATTCACACCAAAATGTATTTTGTCTTTCTCAATGCTTCTTCCCCATTAATGAAAATTCCAGTCAGGTACACGCTTTGATATTGTTATATTGCCTAAAAGCATCCTCAAAGTTTCCTCTGAGATCACTGTAGATGAATTTCCTCCAGGGGTCTCCTTTCATAACATAATCATTGGGCTAATGCTGTGAAACTGAGTTAGTCAGGCTCATCAGCACAGAGAGGCCTGTCAATATTGTTTGGTTCTAAGTGCTTATTGTCTGAACTCATTTCACAGTTCAACAAATGTTCTCTCATCAGCAGTGAAATTTAACTTCTTCAGTCATGTCCCGTCAAGCATTTTCTCTCACTAGTGGCCCTAAAGCGATTTGCTGTGGGTGGCGAAGGCAGTTGTCACACTGACTGAAAGGAGGCGGAGCAGTGTGAGTAACTTCTGTGAGCTGCAGCACTGATTGGAATGGATCTTGCCTAAACATCAACAGCAGGCCTGTGTTCTCAGCTAGCAGGGGCCCACACTGCCGCCTTTGTGCCCTGCTCCCAGTCCCACCAGGATGGGTCACACTTGCTCTAAACACATGCACATTTATTCACACACACAGTGAAAACCTTAATGCCATTGGAGGTCGGCATTTGAATCAGTTACATTTTAAATTTGATGACGATGTGGTTGCAAGGTGCTGATGCAATATGTGGCCACTGCAAGGAGATGAAGAAATATGATGATTGTTTTAAGCTGTTGATCCTCAGTCTTGACACAGAGCAGTGGGAAGTACCCTTTATACTTTCTTCCTTTTATGTCTGGACTTGTCATTTTCATCATGCTTCACTGAATAACCAAACTCTAGAGACGGAGCGAGCATGCCAGGAATTCTCACAGACGAGCTGGCTGGCACACTTCTTCCTCTCATTGGATTTCATCATTGGTCAAATGTGAGAGTAGATAAAGCTCTGTCAGTTCTTCTCTCAGATACTATTTCTGTAAAAGAAAACTGAAATTCCTTATTAGGACGTATGTTTTCACAGTTAAAAAGAAAATGAGTGCTTATTGAAATTGATGGTCCTGTTCTCCAGGCTTGTTGAACCAGCCATCAGCAGATGTTCTGTTGGGTTTTGTTTCAATTTTGTGATCCCAAGATTGACAAGAAAGCTTCGTAGTACTGGTAGCTACTGCCCAGTCTAGACCATATTACACCTAAAGACCAATCACCAAGGTCATCTATGTCTGATAAAGCACAGAGAAAAAACTGTGCCACCTCAGAAATTCCTCCACTTTGGACAATGACAGGTAGTGCAGTGTGCCATTTTATCACTTTTACCTACCAAGACAAATTCAGTTTCAGGTAGCTCAAAGGCTGCTGATACAATGTAGAAGACTCAAGTGGGTCATTTGTCTGTGTAAGCAAGCTAGAGTTCAGCAAGCAATGTGGCATTGAAAGACAAGCTGTTGTCCATGGCTGTAATGTTCACACATGTGGTTTACTGCTGGATTTATAGTTTTCTCAGCTTGTAGCTTCACACCAATGACAGATAATTGTACCTGACCCCTAAAACCACCTGTTTGCACAGTGGGAACAGACAGATTCCCTTGGCATAATAATGATAATTGTTTTTCATGCCCAGGTGCCCCTAAGCAGCTATCTGCTCATCCCCAAAGAAGGATAGATACCCAATTACAGGCGTACTCATATGAGTCCAAATGAAGTACCGAGCACAGAATCAATAGGTCCTATGTTGTCTATAAATACAACAAGAGTAATTTCCTTTATGAGCTCTCTAACAATTAAATTAATGAAACCGACAGGCACACCAGGACAACAACACACTTTGTTTTTGATATCCTACCTGAACCCAAAGGGACCAATGTATTCTTTCCTTTTTTGCAATTAGCGGAGGGTTGCTTTAGTCTGTGGCCATCTAGGACTTGATTAAAGCTGTTCATGTTTCCGTTTGTATGTGCTGTTGAAATATGCAGAGGGAATGCAACCAAAAAAGGAGACCTTAACTCACTCAATGTAACTGTCAACTGACCTGATTGTGTCACTGATAATGACACTCACCACCTGTGAATACAGTCTATCCATCATGGGTCAGGCGCCCGACTCTGTCCTGCTGCAGCTGGATCCCAGTTAATCCTTGCACTGGTTCCCCCTGGCACCCATCTCCCTCGCTGTCTGCCAGTCACATTGTAACCCATCGGTAATCAGGCAATTTCCTGAGTCTTGCTGAGAGATTTACAAATTCCCTGCTGCTTTTCCCTAGTGCCACATATCTTCATGCTAATACTGCCTTCTCCCACAACAAGCATGCAGAAAGATGATATGTAAGCATGCACACACACTGACATTCTTCCTCGTTTCGTTCTTTTTCTACTTGTTTTACGTGAGAGTAAGGTAATTGTGAGCGACATACAGACTTAGACAGAATTGGCCTCTCTTTTCCACCTCTGCCCATTTTTTCTCCTAATTTTCTACCATGAGTCAAAGATGACCACAACTGTCTAACACGTTGCCCAGTTGCTAGGCAGTGGACAGTATTTATTTTCCTACAAACACAGCTTTTTGTCATCTCCTGCTCTGTACAAGCAGTCAGATCCCACAGTGTGTTTGTCAAATAGTTTAGTTAAATGCAGTAGCGTGTCTTTTACTATATCTTCAGTTTATTCTTCAGAAACACATAAAAACAAAGCAAAGAAGCTAAGTCTGTCGATTGGTTTGTTCTACTTAGGGATAGTGTGAGATCTGATGGTGACTATAGTCTATTCAGTCACCAAGGCCAACAGTTAGAATTTACTGTAGAGGCAAGCTCTGCTTGTTCAGTGCTGAGTCATACAAAATTTTTTCCAAACAATCTTTGGAAAATACTAGTATCAATAGGGCATGTGAAAATGGTCAGTGTGTGTGTCTGTTCCTGCAGCTGCAGTCCTGAGCCTCCATGGTCCAAAGGGAGATATGCCGATAATGCAGTATTAGATCACAGATCAGACAAAGTGTGTTGTGTAATAGCGACAGGATCAGTGGTATCAGTCTGACTGTCATTAGGCCCGGAGTTCCTGCCACAGCTTTTCCCCACAGAACCACCAGCAACTTATGCTTATTGCCCCAATCTTGAGACTGATTGTCGCTTGTATTACATCAGTGACCATGACAAAAGAATCCTCTATGATCCCTCAGCAGTCCCAGCTGTCATACTAAATGTCTGTGTGTGTTTCATTCAGTTAAGGTTTTGTTAGCAGAAACAAAGAACGTCCAGTCCTGTAGGGATTCTGCAAACATCTTTATTAAAGTACATGTGCTTGTACAGTTGTTGGCAGCCTTTTATTGCCAGCTGGCAAGTATGAAATATTAAAGTGAAATAGCGCAGTGCAGGACTTCCTATGTGTATTTACATTGTGGTTGCTGAAGCGCTAATACTCAGGATAACTGCAGCAGCAGTGCATTGTTCACATTGAGGTGTACATAAAACCCAAGTTTAACCTCCAAGTTACTGTGAGTTGAGTTAATTTTGTTTGGTCACATTGAATTTACTGTTGTGTGAAGGGGAACAGTCTGCTTTTGGTTCAGGCAGATTCCACATGCACATGCTTGAAAGCTGAGAGTACACAGAGTCTGTCAGGAGCTAAAGTGTATTTGTATTGTACAGTAAAAAGACCTGCTACCTATTTGTTAATCAAAGCGGCAATAGCACCAAGGTATGTGCCAAACCTCACCGCTCTTTTCTAACTGTTAGCAGCTTCAGGTTCAGTGGACAAACTCCAAAGGGCATGTTTACTACTTTCAGGTGTGTGTGTGTGTGTGTGTGGGGGGGGGGGGGTTGACACGGCCTGCTACCTTGGCCCTTATGATAAATTATTGATTTACTTAATAGTACTTAAACATAAGAGGTAGTTAAAATAATTATACAGACTCAGAGTGTGGAGGTTTAAAAGAAGACTGTTTTGATGGCATTTTGGCTTTGAGCCAATATAGTAGTGAAAAACAGCTCAAGTAGAATAATGCTTGGGTGGCACATATGATTAATTCAAGTATTCTATCTACATTCAATCATAATAACTACATTAATATGGAGTGCACACTGCCCATTTCCATTGAATCAACCTGTATCTTAGATTGTCCCATTTTCATTTTCACCCTGGTGTCCAGTCACACTGGTTTTATTATATTTTTGACCATATATTCAGCCTTTGTACACACCTAATGACACCTTCAGGCTGTCAAAATCTGTTGGATGTCTGTTAAAACAGTCTTTATTTCAAGTTCTGCTCGATTAGCCAGTCTGAGCTCATACACCATGGAGGAGTAGGGGCTGACAGCTGTCTGTGGAAACTATCTTGGCCCATTCCTACCCAGGGGCTACACTGTGCATGTGCGTGCAGCATGCTGTGTAGTAGTGTATTTTAAGGGTCATCCCAGAAAGACTTCACCCTGGGCGAGTTCGAATGGAGAGTGCACTGACAGGCACCCCTGGGTGTGTGTGTCTCTGTGTGTGTGTAGTGTTAGATTCCTTGTGGCAGATGAGCTCTTTCTGGTCGCCTCAGGCAGTTAGAATAAACATAGCACTGGATAAGAAAAGCCCATATCCTGTCAGTGTGAGACGTTTCCATTAAAATGCTAACCATCATAAAGTGACTTGTCTTGAAATAAAAAGAGGGGAATAAGATGACAGGTGGTTTTTGTTCCTTCAGAGGTTGAGAGTGTCTGGGATGTTTCCACTGGGAAATTAAGACATCGCTTTATTACCATTTGAATTCAGACTACAGATAGAACTGGCTCGAGCTAAAGAGGCAGAATCCCTGCAGATATAAAGTGAGAGAGATCAGTAGACTGGTCCAGAATGAAATTGAGAGATGAGATCTGTTGCAGAGCTATTGCCAAGGCTGCAAGGTAAAAAGGAGGGGAGTAAGACAAGGGTCCAGATGTGAGGCGGCCACGCTGGCTGCATGTTTACATTTCTCAGCTAACAGGAGCATATTTTTAACCTCTGCCTGTTTTTGTTCTCTCTGCAGGTGCTGGAGAGTCGGGAAAGAGCACCATTGTGAAGCAGATGAAGTGAGTGACTGCTAATTGTTTTGCTTTTCCTCCCAACATGTCTGACGAAATAATATATTTTTTAACATCACTAGTAAATGTTCAAGGAAATTTAAACATAGATGGTGTTTCAACATTTATTTGAGGATCAGTATGTACTGCATAAACATAAATGGAAGAATTATAGCAGCACAATAATTTGTGGATATTAAAGCAAATGTGTAGCACAGATGTTACCCAGCAACAAAACATCTTTCCTGGGTTTGAATCTTAGCTCTGGTCCTTTCTTAAGATATAAGGAGTTTACACTTGCCTGAGTTGGAAAAGTTGATTTGTCAATAAAACAAATGTGACAAAATGCAGTGAGGATGAAGTTTTAGTGAAATGACTGAATGAATCGTCAACTTCAATGTTCACTGAAGCTTCAGCTGCGCTGAACAGATAAAAAATAATCATATCTGTATGGAGCATTGAGGAGACTTAACCCTTCTCAAATTAATATGTGAAACAGACATGAAACATAAATAGCGTGTTTCCTACATGTTGCATCATTGCGATGCACAACCTTGGTTTAATGGCACCCTGATGTGCCCAAATTCTAATATTGGATGGAAACAATTTTGGTTCTGATTTTTTTGTTCAAAATAAACACTAAATTTAGATGGGAAACTAGTACTTGATTTCGTGCATTAGGTTCCAAGTTCTAATGGAGAAGAATGTTAAAATGTTTTTTACCTAAGCAAAGTTGTCAAATGCAGGTACATTGGTCCTCTTATTATATATAAAGTTTTTACTTATTAGTATATAACGCGTTAGCTAAGTGGAGTTTATCTCAGCTCTATATCAGTTCATCAGTTAGATCAGCCAGAAACTCTGAAAATAGTCAGTTTTTCCACACTTCAAGAGTGAAAAGTAATTTCATTTTTAAAATATGGTTATTTTTTATTCAAATTCTAGTAAAGCAGGTATGTCTTCTAAATGTGATCCTCCCATGTAGTTTCTATCATAAAATATCCTTTTCTGTTCTTTCAGACACACACACGCACACACGCACACCTTCCTCTACACTGAAGCTTATATTGTACACAGGGATGTTCCTCATCTGATAATTGCAAACTTCTATCAAGCTGATATGGTGACTAATGAATGGTGAGGTTGGCACTCCTTGCCTCAGAACCAACTGGCTGTAAAAAGCCTCATGTACCATGAACATTTATCATCAGCCTTATGAAGGAGCAGCACTCTCAACAGGTACCAGGGTCCATCTTGGTACCTTGGCTATAGATAATTCTGTGAAAATGCCTCCAGACTTGTTTTTACATTTATGCAATTCAGAATTATCCTGGTAAAGACAACCCACCATTACTGCTGTGCTGAATCTAATAACAAAGCATAGGACCAATATTATTTTAGTCAGACTGTACAGAAGATCCTTGACAATGCCGTTCTACACTGAAACAACAGCATGAACTTTTCCTACACCCATCACTAGATTTTGACTATATGCCTTAGATTAAAAAGTGGCTTACTTGTGCGTGAGCTGGCATTGTCAATGACAACTGGTGAGGTTGCAATATTTTCTAATGAGTCGTTTTACAAACAGTCACAAAAGATATGATAAAAAACATGAAAGAAAGAGGAGTACAATCACTTGTTTCCGTTGTGTTCTGTATAGCCTGGGCTTTGATTACTGTGCACTGAAGCATAAATGAAACTGCTGATTTCCGGGCTGTGTAATTTCGCTCCTGCCAGTCTCTCTTAGACACTCCCTACTTGTCTTTTAAAACAAGGATTCAGAAGTTGGTGCTAAATGTGCATTTCCACAGCATGAATAGAAGAATAAATATGAACGTTATTAGGTTTCTTGTATCCTTCAGTGTTGCTGCACTCACTGCAATTTCACACATTACTCAGATGCAGTTCTCTGCAATTCACTCATGTGCACATCAGTGAGTACTTATATGTTTGATGCTTTTGCTGTTGATATATCATTACCATACAGACTCATAAATTTGCCTAAAGACATTTTGACTTGCCTTAGAGGACATTACAGAGCGCTGGATCTGGTTAATCTTAACGGACTACAGCCGTTACTGACGCCTGTAGTTTTCTCACTATGACATGTCAATTATGAACAAACCATTCAACCTGTTCATAAAAAACACAACACCAGTGTCTTTGCTCTTATGGGAGAAGGAGTGAATAGTTTGAGCTACTTTAAAATCCTTAAAACTAGACAACAAACGTAACTTGCTGTAATGGACCTTGAATGTAACCCCCTCTTCTTCTTTTGTAAAATGGACAAATAATAGATTTCATATACTGTGTGAGAGATTTTCCTATTCATAATTCTGACTCATGTATAACAATACAAAAGTGTGTGAGTGTCACACAAAACTAATCTAGTTTTGAAGTTCTTTTGAAAAAATTCTCATTGACACTAGACTAATAGGTTTTGACAAAAAAGGAGGATGACAGTCCTGTCCTGTGACAGCCACAGGATATGACAGCATTAATGATGGGATTTCAGTTTAATCCAGTTTTAGACTTGTATTGAAAATTTCTCCTCGTTGACACTAGACTTACAAGTTATTTTTAGCATAGCAGTAATAAAATATTTAAATGAGAAGGAAGCAGCTCACAAATTTCATATAATAAAATATGTCCACTCTGTGTTTGTACCTCACACACACATTAGTTTTTACTTTATGCGCATTTGCACTTGCATATTTTTCTCTTCGCTTACTGTGTATTTATTATCACTGCTTTATTGTAGTTTAATAATAGTTTTTACTTTACTTACTCATTCAGCAATTGTAACAAAACAATTTCTCTGCAGGGATCATTAAAGTTTTTCTGATTCTGATATAACTACCATCACCAAGTTTTCAGTTCAGTTGTTTAACTACTCAGTACTACTACTATAGACTTCAGTAAAATGTGATCAAACATTAATCTTGCCATATAAAAAGCTCTTTGCCTTTTTCTTGTTATTAGAGCTCAAAAAGGTGTAGATGGTGAAGTCTAGAAGCAAAATTCTTCCCTTTGGATTCTTTGGTTCTTCACTGTCTTCACCAACACAAAGTTTATTTTTATGCAAAACTGTACTACTGTTGAGTAGTCCCTCAAATTTCTGGTCATGTTATGCAAAGAGCTAGGTGGCTCATGGTGTCCCGCTCTACCTTTTCCACATGTGCCAGCCTAATGTTAGGTTTAGATCAAATCTGATTAGAACTTTCTAAAACAAAGTTTGCAAAAGTCACAATCCGGTCAACCAGAAATTATTTTATTAAAATATTCAAAGTATAGTTTGTATGAGGGGGTGAGAGTGTGGGTTTTTGGTCCTTTTGGCTGGGCCTCACTGTGTTTCACAGTGGGCTCACTTGCATTTTAATAAGGTCCTATTCAGCACATCACACTACCAATGAGCATCCTGGCTGTGTGACTCTGGTCTCTGGGTTGTGAAGAGGCCAGGGGAGGTGGTTCTGTTTGGTTTTCAGTCCAGCAGCTTCTGTCTCAGCCCCATGGTTTTTCAACCACATGCCTCTTTCTCTTCGTTTCTCTCTCCACTGCTCCAAAAGCAAGTAAATATTTGTTTTAGTGTCCTCTAGCTGAGAGATACAAAAACGCCTGAATTTTCCCAGCACCTCAACCCAGCAGTGTTCTGATTTGTGATCACAGATGGACAGTTTTCACAACCAGAGAAATTATTTGACTAGATACACAAGACACATATTCTGTAAGTCGTAGGTTCTCTGTCAGAAGTGACTATTATGTTTTATTGTCAAGTTGAGATTTCAGCACAGACTATGCATCATTTTGTTTTTGTTTTTTTTTAACACCTTCTCTCCCTCTGTTCTGCTTTCAGGATTATCCATGAGGATGGATACTCAGAAGATGAGTGTAAACAGTACAGAGCAGTTGTCTACAGCAACACAATCCAGTCCATTATGGCCATCATCAAAGCCATGGCCAACCTCAAGATTGACTATGAGGAAACTGCTAGAGCGGTAGGTCTCTGACAGTAATTAAATTAACCCTGTAATTCAAAACCGTTTACCTCTGCAAAAACTACATTTAGGGAAAAAAATAAATGTTTTAGAAGATTGTGTGACTGTTTACATCAGCCACTGCAAAACTTAAAAGACAAGCCAGCTAGAGAGCATCTCCGCCCATGCTAAGTATACCTGTTTTTATGTTTTACAGTGCTCTACGTGTGGATATATGAGCAGTATATTAGCCTAACGTAACTGCAGATACTTTTAAATACAGATGCAGTTTGAAGAGCTTGAGTATGATTCATATTGTCCTCAAGCAATTTGAAACTAAGCTGTCATTTCGGAATAGAAAGCTGTTAAAGGTAGTCACCTTCAGGAAACCCATTAAAGGTTAGTGTAATATAGCTGCATGCGGCTGAGTGATATCATCTCTACTAATCACCACCGAGCCTCCACTCTGCGTCCACCCCAACCACCCATATCTAGCTGTGACGATTTGAGGCAGCAGAGCTTATGCAGCTCATGAATTTCTCTCGGGTGCAGTGTGACAGATTCTACTTCAACTCTGGGTAGCAGATGCTTAAGATGGTCTCCTGCAGCGTCGCGTATTTTTGTCCCTGCGTGTGTGTTTGTAAAGAACAAAAAACTGTAAAGAGCTGTCTTTCGTCAAGGCACCACCCAGGGAGATAATGAGATCACAGATACAAAAACTCTGCATTACTCATGAGAAGAGAAATTCACTCCTTTTGACCACGGACCCATCATCTTTCAGATGTGATTCATATATTCTATTCTCACAGATCATCTGAAAGATGATTTCTAAATAAGCATCCTTAGTTAATAGATGTTGGAGGAGTCTTGTCAGCATCCATACCAAAGTAAATTTGAGAAGATTTGACTTAATAAAATGCAGAGGAGGAGACAGCTGTGTTGGTATGCCTTTTACACAATCCAACAATTCAGCATAAAGCCACATACTGCATTTCTGCTCACCTTATATTTCTTCGCTATTAACTCACCTCCGTGTTTCTACGAGTGTGTAAATGCTACATAGGGAAATCTGACCTACCTGATCCTCACACTCTCAAATTTGCTCAATTGCAATAAGTAATAAAACATTGTCATGTGAAGTGACGTGATAAAACATGTGCTCCACAATGTTGACAATGAAATTCTGATTTTTTTGAAAAATATTCCCTACTTTGCAGTTTCTTCACATTTTTGATACTTGTCGTTTTTACAAATTTCAGTCTCCCAGGTGACCTGCATTCCACAGGAGTTGTATAAACATGGTTTTATGTGGAAAGAGCTCTTAAACTGCCTGGTGTATGTCAGGTTTGGCTCAGCAAAGGTAGCTAGCTCTGCATGACAGGTTCTGTTGGACAGATTGCAGTGTTTCATGAATTAGTTTATTTGAGACACACCTTCCCCCACTGCAGTGGCCTACAGAGAGTGTTGCATATCCTGGAATATTTGACAAAATTCAATTAAAAAGGCAATATTTGTCTCACAGCCAGAAGGGAAGCAGTCAATATTCAGCAATGCCCCTAAGTCGATGTGTGGCTGAGCTGGTTTGTATGCTCTCTTCATTTGTACATAAGAAACAATCTGCTTTCATTGTTTGTAAGGCGCTTTGCACTTGTTTAGATGTGTCATGTTGCACTAATTTCTTCATTATCAACTGATTTCACTTACAGCTGAGATGGATTGGAGGGTAGAACAATGGTTAACTTATACACGGAAGTCTGCTCTCAATGGTTAACATCCCTTGTCCAGTGTCAGAGTTGTGCAATGAAGGTGACATTATCTATGTAGGATTCCCTTTTCATGCTGCTAGTGCATATAGCTGCAACTCTAGCTTTGTTTAGGTTAAGTTGTGTGTATGTACAGGTATGTGTGTAACAGTCATCTTGAAATGGATAGAATAAGAGGGCAGTCCTTGTCGTTAAAGAAACTTTCTCATAACTTGACCACACCATGTTTGCTCCATCAACAGTCATCTGTGAGCTTAAATTAACACTAAAGTAACATTTCTCACACTTTGATTTACTTCTGTTTCTTCACCTCTCTCTTGTACAATCTAATTGGTCAAGAGAGCATATCTCCTTACAGTTGGCTCTAATATGTGTCAAATCAGACTTGTATGAATTGTGTAGGGCTGCAGAAACATCTGACCACATAACATGGAAAGAAAATGCTGTATTTTCTTTTAATCATGGAACCATCAGTTTTCCAGTTGTTGTCATTCTTATCTGCAGTTCCTTTGTCAAGTAGGTCTAGATGGTTTTTAAAAGCACCAGTTACCACATGCACACACAGGATACCGGCTACAATATGTTGGCGAGGCAGTGTGCTGACAACCACTTACCAAACATGACTGACATGATTCATGTTGGCAAAGCAAGTTAATCCAGAATATTATCAGCCCCATGAATCTCTGTTCTGTTTTTTCTTTGTCACTGCTGGTCACATCTCAAAAAAAAAAAATTAAATTTAAATCACAATCAACAAAGTATGTCATTTTTCAGTTCTTTTGCCACAATTGTGAATTCTCAGTATTTTACACATGCATTCAGGGCACCTGTCAGTGGGCACTGTCAGAAGCAAGTACAATATCGGCCCTGTGGAAATTTTCTAAAAGTTGTATTCTAAATAAAGCCCTGCAGTGCTCATCAGCTTTTCCTAGTGAAGAAATATTTCTTTTTTTTTAAGAGACATACTCTGTCTAACTCTGTGTATGGGGGTATGTGTGTGTGTGTGTCTGTGTGTCTGTGTGTGTCTGTGTCTGTGTCTGTGTCTGTGTCTGTGTGTTTCTTTACTTGTCAGGATGATGCCCGCCAACTGTTTGCTCTGTCAGCAGCAGCAGAGGAGCAGGGCATCCTGCCAGAGGACCTGTCCAACGTCATCCAACGACTGTGGGCCGACAGCGGCGTCCAGAGCTGCTTCACACGGGCCCGAGAGTACCAGCTCAACGACTCTGCAGCCTAGTGAGTGCTTTAGTAACACAAATTAACATCAAGATTATGGTGTGGACTATGTGTCTCAACATAAAACTGCACATAGTTGGGCTCTGAAAACATAGTTACTGGACTTTCAGTTTGAAGTAATTTCAAATTACATGACACATCACCTTTGCGAGATGAACGTGATGTGCAATGTGATGTCAATATTGAAAATAAAGACAGCAGTCATTGTCAAATCTCACTGATAATGTTGTATTTGAGGAAAATGACGATGAAATAGGGATATAACTTTGGATAAGATACTCATTGCTTCTCAACAAGTGATTGCTCTGAGTGGACTGACAGTGTCAGTTTGGAGCCAAACACATATATAAACACGTGCATCAGTCCAACACTAACAGTAGCATGCTAAAATATTATTGAGAGCCACGTTTTTCCTGCTAACTGGAGATGTACTGTAGCTGAGTAGTGTCACTGCACTTCTACTCTCTTGTTTGTGGAAAACATTTCCAGCCAGCACAGGTAGTGAAAGGTGTATTTATTGCAGTTTTACTTCATGAGTAAAGCTGAAAAGATTATGCGTTTTCACTAGGAAAATCCTACACAGCTTTAAATGACAGTACGCATTCAGCAAGCAATTTTAACAAATGCATTGTTCAAACACAATTTGACCCATTGCATTGATTGATTAAAACTAAATTATCATTATCATATGATTGAATTGCAGTAAATGTTAATTTTCCTAGTACAGGAGTAATTTGATTTCTCTTTTGATTATGTTTATACATTAGTTTGAGGGGAAGGACTGTAAAACCATTGTGTCCCTTGAGCTGCGTTTAGAGCTGAAGTTTAGCTTTAATATACCTACAACCAGCCCCAGAATATCCTTGCTGTCTCACCAACACTTTACTCTCAGTTTTCTCTGTACTGGATTCTGTTCATCCTGTTATTTTTCACATTGTTAATATGTCAACACATTTCTACATTTACTCTGCATCATCACATTAACCACTGAGAATCCACAGAGAGCAGCCACAGTTATTAATAAAGAGGACATTACTGTTTTGTTTAACCAGAGGCTTTTACTTTTAAGACCTGTTGTGCTGCTAATCTGCAGCAACAGAGCCGACCTCAGCCTCTCTCTGCAGGTCTTAATTGCCTCAATGACCCTCATCTCTGAGTGCTCCATTTGTTGACCGTATTGTTGTAATGCACCAGTATAATAGCAGCAAGAGCCAGAGGTAATTGTGACAGGCTGCTGGGAAGAGGTGAGAGGTGGTTATCACTCTAACCCTTAGGGATGCACTGCTGCTCTGAAATGGAAATCCAGAGAAAACGGCCTCAGCCTGGTCCACCACCAGCTGCCTGCAAGCAGCAGCAGGAATTCACCGCACTAATTTCTGTTTAATACACCAAGCTAGCCTTTGACAATACTATGACACCTCCAGATTGTGCAGTAAACTGTCAGGGGAGTGTTAAGTGTTTCACAAATGATTGCCTTGCAGTCAAGGTGGTATTTAACCTCCAAGGGGAGCAATGTTGTTCTCTATTTGTGTTGGCCAGTGTAATCATAACTTCTGCGTCTGTGCTTCACTGCTCTTGTTAAAGCCATGGGGACCTGGATTCACATTTAGTAGTTGGAAGAATAGACGGCCTGCAGTGTTTCATGGAGGCTTTGTAGAGCGCTGGGTGAGTTGGTTTCTATAAGAGAGACTAAATCAGTCTGCTACTAGACCATAATCCATGTCTGAGCACAAGCTGAGAGCCAAAGAAGGGAAGGGAAAGATAAAGAGAGAGGGAAGGCACAGCTCACATTAACAGAGATCTCTCTCTTCTCACTCTCTAGGTTTATTAGAAAGGGACGTGTACTGTACACTCTGAAAATAATGGATCCATCTGTCATTATTTGAGGAAACAAGCCTAACCTTTTCACATGTCTGCGTGAATGACAATGAAACGGTCTCAGCTTGCACTGTAATTGTTGTGGGTAGAACAATATTTGCTGCATTTTGGGCTCTACAAGTCTACTGTGGTTTCTCTCTACCCTTAAAATGTCCATCATTTTGCAACTGACAAGTCTCTGTCGCACTACGCTTGAGTACCTTTTCTTGATAGAGTGTAAGCTGACTAAATTCAGTTAATCTCAAAGGCTTATAAACCCAATGGCCAAATCAAGCAGTATTACAGTATCTGATGTGTGGACTACAAAAGCAACCTAAACCTCTCTGTGTGACACGTGGCATGAAGTATTGGTGCAAAGGCTCTAATGTCTACACCCAGGCTGTGGCTTGTACGGGATTTCATCCAGCACCAACGCTTTGTTATACAACATAGTCTTTTTACGCAGTTTAATATTATGTTTAAAGATCGACAGAAAATATGGTTGCCCTCTAGCCTTTTGTATCTTTTGTGTAATATTATATGCGTAGCAGTTGATTGTGGCCTTGTATTTAGTGCTTTTATCTGGCATTAGGCATGCTGGCCCGAAAGTCAGTAAGTAAGATTGCTTTATTCTGTGTTGTTTGCATACTCGTACACACACACACACACACACACACACACACACACACACACACACACACACACACACACACACACACACCACATCTTCTAATCTTCTATATAGATTTGAACCAATACAAAATATGGACACAGTATTGTCAAACTGAAATTGATTAAAGTATATCAAAGCTATCCTTCTACTTTTTAATCTAGTAGAAAATCGTAAAATAGAAGCAATCTGACAATAATATTTTACAACTGAATTGTTTGCTGTCCCTAAAGCTGATTTAAATTCACTGTCTTTTGTGTGTTAGCATTTGAACTAACAGCAAAGCAGGAATCGGTGTTTACATCACTGACCATACAACATAATTTTATGATTATTAGGAGGATCACTAAGAAAGTTTAAATACTACAGATGTCCCTTGCCATGCTTTACGTGTTGCAGCTGGCAGTAGATAAAAAGTTTCAGAAAATGTTGCCTGATCTTACAACACATACACTGAGTAATAACTTGCATTACATTGTGTAATTATTCATGACTCCTTAATGTTTTAAAATGAGTTTAAGTGTTTAAAAAGGTGAGGAGGTTATCTTTAACGACAGGTGGCTGTGTTTACTGTCATAGAGTCAGTCTTGTTTTGTTCTATGACAGCACACTGACTACTCATGTAATGTGATTATAAATTTGAACCTGACTGTTGAGACGACACAGTGCTGCCAGTGCTGTTACAGGGCCGTCATGAGGCACTTCTGTTTTTGTCATGTCTGTGTGAAGGAACAGATGAGACTTTTAACCTGAAACAACCCTCCCTCACACCTCGTCCTAACAACAACAGCTTGGGATCCTTTCCCTTTGTGAGTGTAGAGGACAGCAGTCTTAATTTTATGTTTATGCAATATTTTTTTGTCTTCCTGTCAGCTACTTAAATGACCTGGAGAGGATAGCCAAGCCAGATTACATCCCCACACAGCAAGATGTGCTGCGGACTCGAGTCAAGACCACAGGCATTGTGGAGACACATTTCACCTTCAAGGACCTGCACTTCAAGTAAGACTTCTCTTTATTACAGTTTTTAATCAATTTTGTGAAACACTTGTGCAGCTGACATTTCATTTCACCTGCATCTGCTATATGTAATAGCCAAGGTGGGTCACCTTCACTGCATTAGCAACCACTTCTGCTGATAGACTTATATGAATTAGAAAGAAGCAGTGGAGCTGCTTCACATAGTGGGCTATAATTGTTTAGACCATCATCTAGAAAGTGATCAGAGAGGATGAGGACATGGTCAGGCTCAGCTCAGCAGGTGACAGCAATTACTTGATTACGCTCAGCACATGAAATTCCACAGCACATTTTTGTTTGAACTGTTCTGACTCTAACATGTTGCATGTGAGGATTCACACAATGAGCATGTTTATGAATGCATCAGAGAGAAAAGCATTTTGTCTTCAAAGATTTTCTCTATGAATCAATGTAATTTCAGAAGATATCAGACTTTAAACTTTATGTGAATGCAATCAAAAATGCACTTCTTGTGGAAAAATGTGCACATATGAGTCATTTATGTTTTTATTTAAGTTGCTGCATTTGTTTGCCAGCGCACAATTTCCTACTTTTGGAAAGTCAAAATAAAATTCACAGAAAAGAAGCCGTTTGTTTTATGATTAATGGAGTTATTGTGAAATTTGTTTCATTTCAGCAACTGACCTTATTAGCTGTCTTTACCTGAAACAGATCATCCTACCCATAATTTTTCAATAGGGACTCCATGAGTGAAAACGCATAAACTATTTTTTTTTTTTTGTTATCTCACAAACAATACGCATATGTGTGGGTAGTATTATTTTGTAACTGAATAGTTATCACAGCAGAATGACACACATCAGTAATGGAAAAGAATGTATGAGGGTATACAAAGTCATTATTACCCCCTTTAGTTGGTTACTTTGAATGTCAGTTTCCTGTCATGTTTCTTAGAAGTTGGCTTGTTTTTACAATGTAAATGTTTTTTCATTGTGTTTATGGGTACTGGTAATGGTATTACTGGTAATGGTATTTCTTCATTGTTAAAATAAAATCGCTCCAGCCACACACACATACACGCAGACATATCTGATGGAGACATTAGTCACTACCAAGGCTTTGAAAACAGAGGAAAATGTTTGTAAAATGTGAAAAATATATATCAAAAAATGCTATCAATCAGACCAGACTTCACTAACTACATTATCAAAGCAGCCAAAATGAAGCGGTGTGTGTGTGGCTCTGCTTCTGTGTCTGCTGTGTGTCTGTGTAATATTTAAGTCTCATATTTATGTCTTGATATATTTTATTTCTTTGTGGAAGACATAAACCAAATCCAACCAGCATATGTTTACCTACAGCAGTCTCCTCAGAGCTGTGCTGCTGTGACATATTGAGCTTATGTAAGCAGTGTGGGAGATGAGGTAAACAGTCTAAAGTGTGTCACTGTTATAATGAGCTCTGCTTACTCAGCCCAAAGCTGGCTCTCTGTGAGAGCCAAGGTTCGTCTGTAATGAACAAAATTCTGCAAAGTGAAAACTGCTCAGTAGGAAGAATGAAGTGTCGTGAAAAAAGTGTCACTCTGAGAAGCTACAGATGGTTTTACTCCACCTTTATCTGCCAGCTGAAACGCTTCTCCACAATGTTAGTTGACGAAAATGTTCAATCTGGCTCTGACCATACGAGCATCCTCTCATCCATCTAGGTAAACTCCATCTTTATGAATAAGACATATAGGATCTGAGTGAAAAACCTATTGCTGCCACACCTCCACCTGTCTTAAGGCCGTCTGTTACCACAGCAACTGCACTGTACTAAAACGCTAACAAATGCTAAAGAAAATGACAAGGCCTGTGCAGCGCACACCCCGCCCAGAAGAGAAGAAGAGGCAGATGAGTATTCACAGGAAAGAGGGAGAAAAGACCTTAAAGCTGCGCACAGTCCCATCCGCTCTCATAAAAACAGCATGTTTACACTGTGTGTGTCTGTGCAGGATGTTTGATGTTGGCGGCCAGCGGTCAGAGAGGAAGAAGTGGATCCACTGCTTCGAGGGAGTCACGGCCATCATCTTCTGTGTAGCCATGAGCGCTTACGACCTGGTCCTGGCTGAGGACGAGGAGATGGTGAGTAAAGCTCCTACTCCTTCGATTTGAAAACAATAGCTTCACATTCATTTCACAACAGAGCCCATTCCCAGGATAATTCAAAATGGGGAGGGAGGTTGGGGTTTCAGTGAACTCATTTCCTTTATGTGTCCTAGTTGTGCTCTCTAATAATCTCTTTATCTCCACATTTGTGCCCGTCCCACCCAGAACCGGATGCACGAGAGCATGAAGCTGTTTGACTCCATCTGCAACAACAAGTGGTTCACAGAGACGTCCATCATCCTCTTCCTCAACAAGAAGGATCTGTTCGAGGAGAAGATCGCCCACAGCCCTCTGACCATCTGCTTCCCTGAGTACACTGGTACAGTATGAACGTCTCAACACAAACCCTGGCCAGGGTTGTCTGATTTGTAAAGCTTCAGTGTTTTATGTTTGTATTGTATGAGATTTTCACAGCAACTTGATTGATAAAAATGCAAAGGTTAGTCTTAGAAATCTCAAATTAAACCTCAAGATAATTTTTTGAAAAACAAGTAAAATATTCTATTAACAGGCTGCAAGTTGCACTTCTTTCCTCCTCAAACAAAATCATAAAACCAGGCAGAGTCTAGTCCCACTTTGTGCCTCTCTTGTTTTAGCATTATATTGAAGTCCCAGAGCTAAGCTTGTGTTACAGGTTTGAAATTTTTTTTTGTGTGCAGCAAACAGAATATTTTTTCATCCATAGGATTTTGAAAATGCTTTTCAGGTGTTGTTAAACAATCCTGGGTTTTTCTAACATTGCTGGGTAATTTTGTTCAGAGAAAATAATGCTTCATTCAGTGATCTCCATGGCTCAAATATACAAGACGCTCAAACTGGGCCTGGGCAAAATGATGCAGAATGAATCCAACATTATGAAGAAAATGGAACTTGATTCCATGAAATTCTGAAATAAGTCAATACGGATCACAAACAAAGGAAACTGCCTCACCCATTCAGCCGATTGTTTAAACCCCATTTTCTTCCTCAGGCCCTAACAAGTACGAGGAGGCCCAGGCTTACATCCAGACCAAATTCGAGGACCTGAACAAGAAGAAGGACACCAAGGAAATCTACACCCACTTCACCTGCGCCACCGACACCAAGAACGTGCAGTTTGTGTTTGATGCTGTCACCGATGTCATCATCAAGAACAACCTGAAGGACTGTGGCCTCTTCTAAAATCACATCTGAGAAAGAGTCAAGGTGCGTTTGTTTAGAGAAATTGACTACAGCGTGATTTAGTTCTAACAAGTCACAAAATATAGAGTCCGTATGAAATGACTGATGTATGTTTTTTCTTTTTTTCTTTTTCTTTTCTTTTTTTTTTTTTGCTTCATTAGATTACTTGAACAGTTCTGATGACCATAAAGATGGGGGAATATACACACATCATGAATGACTGCACTGGCCAACCACAATTTCTGCTTTGATCTGCTTTTTATAAAGACACCTAAGAGACAGAAAACTCAACGAGCCCTGCAGAATTTCAATGATTGCTGATTCAGTTGCTCGTATTGTTAACTCTTTGGGCTATGACCACGAAAAAAAAATCAACATTTATTTTGTATTTTTGTTCATTATTTCATGTTTATTTTCAATTACTAGAGGAGGCAAAGGAAAACTTTTTTATATAAATGCATTCATTTTACTTTTAGAGATTCTGATGTGCAAATTATTAAACTTTTAATCACATGAAGCTTATTTTTTAAGAGATGAAGCACAGGCATGGACAGAAAATATGATTGATAAAGGAAAGTGCTTTTTTTTATAATGTTTACATAAGTTTGTCATTCATAGCCAAACCGCATATTGTTCTGCATGACTCAACATGGCAAATATTAGCTCTGTAATCTGCACAAATTATCTAACATTCCTACAAAATAAAAAAAAAAATATTAAAAGGTTAAAAAAGAAAAAAAATGGCTTCACATGCAGGCAGAAATTAAATTCTAACTGATATTTAAAGTATGTGTGTACCTAACATTCTATCACTTTTTATAGTACCTTTACCATGTCTGTTGCAGTATGTTTGTGCCTTGACTTCTGTTTACAACCAATTCCTAGATATGCTTTCAGTACTGTCTGACCTACTGTGCGCCTATATTTTCTTCCGTTCTTCTGCCTAGCACCTATGAATATATAGTGATTATTAATGAGAGACGAAAATCTAATTCAGAAAAAGGTTAGTGTTTTTGGTAAATATTAAAATGCTTTAAAAGTCCTATATGATTTAATTTAAATAAAAGTAGAGATCACCTGAATCTTGCACATTGTTTTTCCTCTCTGTTTTGTTACTTCTATGTTTGTATTGTGACATTGTTTTAGTATTTGTGACAGCTTCACTGTTGTGACATGACAGGAAAATTAGATTGCAAACATAAATACAATGGATTAATGTGCTGAAAAGGAGTCTGACAGTTTTGGACCATTGGAGTGATAGAATAGACGTTCTAACAGTGGATCTTTCAGCCATGGAGGCTGGAGAGGGAGCAGATTTTGCTGGAGTAGATGATTTCATCCATCACATCCTCGACCAGGAGGGGGCAACACATCTATCCAACAAACTGCTGTAGTATTGGGTTGCAGTAAAAAAAATAAAAAAATAAAAAAAAAAAATAGAGTAAAACTCTTGGATGTCAGTTGCCTGTGGTTTAGTGGAAGTTCCTACACACAGCTAAGGTACAGTGTGATATGCTCCTCCTCTCAAATTCTACTCAGGTGAAGCTTTTCTATTCAGTTTTTTCCGATCAGCACAAGAACATTTATACATTTATATTCACTGTAGGTTCAAGCACTCCACTCAGTTGTTCATATTCCTGGCTTTTGTGAAATGTTTTACATTTTACCAGAGCCAAATGAGTATAGCTGGACTTTAGCCATCAGGAATTGCTCAAATCTTTCTTGTGATGATTCAGTTTCATGCCCATGGTGCACACAGGTCAACCTAAACCACAACTTCCCATCCATAGTCTAGTTTGTAGATGAGCTGGGAGCGCCATCAAGTGGACACTCGAAGTGCATGCCATGCACCTCAAATGATTGTTCAATTACTTGGTCAGCTTCACTCAGCTCAGTTAATTTAAACACTGTGACCAAAGCACAACGCTATACGATCTAAAGGAAGGTAAGCAACAACTGATTTTCCCAAAACACCTGGATCTTTTCTGCTGCTGTACCTCTAGTTGTCTATTGCTGCAGTGGAGTCTGTTGAATAAACGCTGCTGTCAGTGAGGCTGAGGGACAAATTGTCAGTCACTTAAGTCAGTGCAGCTGTTTACCAGATTCTCACCCACCTGGTGGTCAGGTACAAAGAGAGAAGGAGCACATCAGTACATTAGACATGCCGAGCAACAAAGAAAGAAATGGGAAATTCTCTCATTCTACCAGACCCAGTGTTATGATTCAACCTGTAGGTCTGATGCAAGAGCATGTAAAGTAGGTGAGAGGTTGTTCACGGTTTAATGCACATCACACAGATAAGAGGGCTAATTAATGATGCTTGTATCAGCTTTATGACAGTCTGCCAGTGCGCCGGCCCCCAGACTCACCCTGCCAGTCTTCTCCAGATGCCATTCAGAATAGTAAAACTCATACTGAGAGAGAGGGATGGTGAACTATAGAACTGTAAAGACATAATACAGGTAAACTGGCAGCATTAGATTATTTTTATGCATTCATACAATGGGAAATATTACAGAAAGGGTGTCAGTGCAGACTATGTCTGCAGAGCTCAGAGGTTCTGCAAGTAAAAATACATAGTTTTGAACATGAAATCACTAATGGTAAAAAGTTCAAAATCAGCTGACATGTCAAGTTACTGTTCAATTGAAGTAAAGGTTTTCACTGTGGTGGTTTGTTTATGTCGTCATACACCTATGTGATCTACTGTTACCACACTAAATGTACACTGAATAATCCAACCCTCTCAAAGAGAAATCTCATGTTATCTACAGACAAATCTAGTTATCTATTAACAGTTTGCTCCAATATTTTATAACTTATCTATTCTTTCTCTCATTATCTCCTTAAATAAGTACATTTAGCGGCTGGCTGTTGTACTCACCAGTGTTGTGTGTTGTTACTCCTCTCTCACAATTTTCTGTCTCCACTCTACTGTCTATCTTTAAATAAAGGCACAAGTGTCAAAATAAATAAATAAAAATAAAAAGGCCTGAGACTCGGAGGAAGCCAAGACATGAATAAATAAGTGTAGGCACATGATGTTGCAGTTTACTGCATGAATATACTGTAAAAGAAAACAGATTACAATGAAAAAGAACATGGATGAAAAACTATACATATATATACTATATGCTATACATATATGTTGTGTGTCTATAATGAGATAAAGACAACTTCCTCACTTGTGACATACAGTTTTGCAATCTCACCAAGTAGATGTGGTGTTTGTGCACTGTTTCACCCACTAAAGAGAAGAAATACATTGATGACAGAGGTCCTGCTGCTGCAGCCAGAACATGAGGCAGTTTTGCGTTAAAAATAAAATCCTTAGGAGATTTATATCCACCAGTTGTGTTATTATGAATAAACCTTACCAGCTGACAACCAGCTGTGTTTTTAGTTATTCTTAACTGTACAAGATCATTAAAAATCAGTGCTGCTAATTCGGCCAATTATAATAATAACACACGGGTCACAGAAACTGATGACAGCATATATAGAAAAATAACTATATAAATATATCTGTAAAAAAAAAAAAATAGAAACACCACTATAATCCTGTACATTCCTCAACCCGTCAGCAGTACTTTCTCTAGAGGGCACTGCAGCTCTACATATGAAGACTCCACCAGTCCCGCTCTTTCATCCAGCTGCTCAGAGGCACAAAATATCTGGTTTTTAGTTTTTGTGCACTCAACAGTGAAAGAAGATGTTCTCTTATGTTCTGCTGAGTTCAATTTGGTCAAATCTTCAAAGGCTTTTTTAAAGCTTTCAAAGGTTTTTTCTGCACACTGAAGGTTTGGTGTTTCTGATTCAACTTTGGCTTAAATGAATTGGGAATGCACTGAAGCTATGAATCATGGCTAAGATGCGTGTCTGAGACTCGGTGAGTCACAGTGACATACAAACATAAAATCTGTTGCTTCAAAACTGACCATCACCACTGCAGCATTCATAACTGTGATGAAAACTGATGACAAAACATCACTGTGATTATAAAATCAAGTACTGTGAAGAAGGCGAGCAAACAGTTCGTCAATGACCTTAATGGACATGGACTGTGCTCACAAACTGGTACAATGATTAAATCCATTAGGCATTTGGAAAAGCGGAGATGCTCAGAATAAAGGTCAGCCTGAGTGGAAAATTGAAATAATCACAACTCCATTAGCAGCCCAGTGTAATTACTTAATGCATAGTGTAGAGTGTATGGGCTGGTGGATGTTGGAGTGTTGGGCTTTGGGAGGCACCATCCTTAATGTTTTTTTTGTTTGTTTTTTTTTTAGAAACACGATGTCTGTACAAGTGAAAGCCTGGAGTACTGAGGAACCTGCAGACTGCACTCTGACAAATTACTATTTTCTTTCTCTAATACCTGTAGTGGAGCTTATGCTGTATATTGAAGCTTTATTTGAAAATATGTGCAAGGATTATACAGAGAATTCAACAGGGCAAAAAAAAATCACAGGACTATTTTTTGTGCTCAAAATCAAATGAGGGTCAAATTTGAAGTGTTTAAAGATGCACCCAGGACTGTGAGACTCAAGTTAATCATATTATCATAATGTCTAAGGTTGCTCACATTACAGCTTTGTTATTGGGTCTTGTTGGTAAAGCAGGTTAGGACATGCCAGAAGTACCCCTATGTTAATGTTGAACTTGCTGAGGAGATAAATCTGCACTTGAACAGTGGGGCTATCAGATTTGGATTAGTCCCCAGCTGTATAATGAACATACGAACAATCCTGTTAGCCCATCATTTGCATAAACATCCATTCACTGAATAGTGTGAATGGAAAGTTGAGTGCTCCACAAATGCCAGGGCTACAGGCTCAATGCCCAATTAGAGTGCAGATTACTGCATTTACATTTAGGCATTTTGTTTACACTCTGGTTCAGTGATTTACAAATGAGCAGACAGTAGGACAAGACTACTAAAATTAGAAGCAGCTAGAGGAAGGTGAGCAAAGGTTTGGAAGTGCTAGTAGTTAAGAGACATATCTTGCCTGCATTTTCGCAAAGGCATCATGACAAGAGATGATACAGTTAGTATATCAACTGATTAGTTGATGGACAGAAAGTTAATCATCAACTGTTTTAATAATCACGTAATTGTTCATTTAATGTGCAAAAATGCCTAAAATTCACTGATATAAAGACTTATGCTTCAAGGCAGACAACCCACTCAAGAAGCTGGTAATCTTAAAATGTGGGTTTTCATTCAGTTTTACAAAAGACATGAAGTGAAATAAACCAGAAGTCAAATATTTTATAAGAAAAAGACTCAAGAAGTGGCCATATAGAGTCTCCTTGAGCTCTGAATGTCAGTGGAGCTATGAAGCTCAAAGAGAGGAAGAGCATGTTCACATGAGAAGTTTGACCCTGGCAGTCACTTTATTTCCCTTCTTTAATACAAACAGCTAATAAAAATGAGATATTTTTATCCTGTGCTGGTCAAAAACTGGCTGCATATACATTTTTTAAAAAAGATCTAAGATCATTTATATAAGGCGCTCTTTGCAGGTCTTGCAGCTGCACACAGAGCTGCTGCTGCTGCTGCTGCTGGGTTTGCAAATGAGCCCTCTGAGCTTCCTGCGCTCTGATTGGCTCGTTCAGACTCAGGTCGCTGTAAGTGGCTGCTGAGCGCGGAGCTGTAAAAGGAGGCGAACGCAACAGGGCTGAGATCTTCACTCAGCACATCTGCCTGTGTAGACCGCTGCCCAGAAACACAACTGAACCACGAACCGGGACATTTTCTTCTTCATGGGCAGAATTATTTCCTTTGGACGGAAGCTGACACATCAGAGGTGAGTGTTGACTGCTTTAATATTTTGTTGTGATCTCTTACAGCGGCGTTATGTCTGTGCGATCTTGTTTTAAAACTGGTGTGTAATTTTTCTTGCAGGGATTGAATTTTACACATGAGAGGAAAAGAAATGGTGAGTTCTCTTTTTTGTCTCTTATATCTCTTCTCTTTATTTCAGACTGTGGCTACTATTTGCTCGTGTGTTTCTACAAACAAAGTGAAGAGTAGTAGTTGATCTGTATGCAAGATTAGTCCGGCAGTTCCAACATATGCAGGCAACAGATGTCAATGCATCACTGCAGCAGAAGGCTGAACCGTCAGTGATGCTCAGAAGCCTCTATATAGTGAATTCATGAGTTTTACACATTTGCTGGAGTAAATAATGACAGTTGATTCTGTTCGTTTATGCATCATGTGGTTATATCTAACTGTTAAGCAGGCATGCACTAATTATGAACAGTTTGTGCTCATTATATATTCATATATATTTCACATTTCCTGCTTTGTTCATGATCATGTGCCTCTTGGGTACTTTCTCAAGTTCTTGCAACATCTAGCAGAGTTATGAGGAAAACAAAATGGGGGCAGGAGGTCCCTCGGCAGGGTCAAATACTTTAATGGACAGCGTAGACTCAGAGGAGAGAGGTCATACAGGTTCAAAGGTGAGTGTAGTGGCATCAGTGGAGAAAAGAAGTGTGCTGTTATGTTGGCTCGTGTTGGATGTGGCCACATAAATCTCACCTCTTTGTCAGCTCCGTCTCTTATTTTTCAAATACAGCATCACACTTGGCTTGAGGATTTTTGCACCGTCTGGAAGTCACAGCATTGTTCCCAACTCTGTTAATATGATTGAAATGAAGCAAACAAACTCATACAGTAAAGCTTACTTTCATCTAAAGTGCATAGGATATGTTAATCATCTCACTGTCCATGTTAACAAAGAATATGAAGTCCCGTCTTTCTTTTCTTTTTCTTTTTGCTTCCTCTCTACTCTTAAACTCTCTCTCACACACACACACACACACTGTCACATGATCTCTTATGCCCAGTTTGAGTTTGAGAGTGAGCCACCGTCTCTCACTGGCTGATTCTGACCAATCAGCACAGTGAGTCAGAGAGGAAACAGGAGTATTATATTCCATAGTATGTCACTGGTGAATTTCATAGGCAAGCGAGCTGCACCCTTAAAGAGGCAGGACCCCGGTAACTAAATCGTTATCCACAAGACCCCAGCTTTTCCTTGACACACTGCAGATGTTTTTACTTTGTCCCACTATGTAGATAAATAGTTGAGGTTAGGCAGCCGTGCAGATCTCTGTAATAACAACTGTCTGGGTGTTCGGTTGAATCACTTCTGAGTCAATGAAAACAGGGCGTTCACTCAAGTTGTTGGTGTGGTCAAATAAATTAACGGACAGATGATTTTGCATTGTGTTTAAATCTATTGACAAACCTTTGAACAGTAGGTTGACTGGCCTGTAAGATTACAATAAGAGAAAAGGTGTTCTCTCATTGGTTGACGCTCACTGCGAGCAAGCCTGAACGTGCCCATGAGGCACTCTGCATTTAGTCAACTCTTGTTATTATTAGAACCATTCAGCAACAGTTCATTCGACAGGCTTTGAATTTTCCAGTCACCTGCATTTGCCCACGTATCCACTTATGCACCATGGTGTGTGATTTACTGCCAACTCTTGTCTGACTCTTTCTCTTTTGTCTCCTCAGCTTTGCTTACGTGACTCAAGCGACTGCTTACGGGAGCACATGCAGTACATGATGAGGTCCCTGCAAGACCTCAAACAACTGCGGAGGACCTGCCCTGCAGCCAGACGCCCCCTTGCCCCCATCAGCACCCAACTGCCAGAGTTAGCGCGCCACTCTGCAGTGGCACGTGCATGTCAGCAGCGAGCACTGCAAAGAGAACAGCGCACACGTCTGCGGATATCTGACGCCAGCACAGCCAGTACCTATGACTCTGCCTGCTGCCTGGCGAGTCCTCTGGAGGAGGAGGAGGTGGAGGATGATGACTCAGCTAGTCAACTGGGCCTGAGCCTCAGACTGGGCCTGGGCTCTCCCAGCAGTCAGAAGAGTCTGGAGTTTGACTCAGGCTACTCTGAGGCGTCATGGCAGGATGAAGCTGTGGTTCTTAGGAGGACGAGGAATGTGCGCGTGTCCTCCTCAGCCTGCCTCCGTACAAACAGAGCACCGAGTGGACGCATCCGACCTAAATCCACCTCTGACGCCTGTCTAGAGAGGTGGACATCATTTGAGGTCAGCGACCCAGAGGACTGGACAAACTCTTTATTGACCAGGGGGCGCAACCGCCAACCTCTGGTTCTGGGAGACAACAGCTTTGCAGACCTCATACAGAACTGGATGGACTTGCCAGATTGCCCTGAGCCCGCTGACCTGAAGCCGAGCTCGAGACGCAGACTGGGAAGAGGGTTCCTTGTCAACATGAGAAGGAAACTAGCTGGGTTTTCCAAGAGTGTAGAGGACAGAGTGAGGATGAGATCCACAGACTCTGCTCACGCTAACAGAACAGCAAATGCTCCAAAACGTCTGTCCTGCCCAGTTGTGGCATCGCAGCCCAAAGTCCCATTTTTCCACCAATCACACTCAGGCATTAACGAGCTGGACTCAGACTTTTACCACTTCGCCGCCCTCATGAAGTCAGGCAGCCGACAGCCCATTATCTGCAAAGACATTATTGGCTACATCTGACACATCAGTTTCAATGTAAAGCCATGTACAGACAGATGGACAATCTTCAGAGTCACTTTATTTTTATATCACTTTTTTTCACCTTTTATATGCTGTGATTAAGCTATTGGAAATAAAAAATGTTCCCATAATTTAAACTGTACGAACTCTTATTTGTATTTCTCATGTCTTGCATGTGACGCAGACTGATATAATTTTTATTTGAATGAAGCCTCTGCCATAGTCATCTGAGTTTCATTACAGCTCATTACAGTCAGACAGTGACTCCTCGCTGCCGGATTAGTTAGAGGAGGCTTTTACTGTCTCTGCAGTAAAGCAAATGAATGTGTGTTCATTTGTTTTCATTAGAAATGTAATACTCTGGGCATAAATGATGGAGCTTGAGGATGCATGGTTTAATGTAATTGATTCATAATGAGAAAGATAAATTGAAAACACGATAATATCTGAGATGCGCAGACTTGTTGTCATTCCAGGACTAATAAGGGCATTTGAGGTGCAAAAGTCCATTTTAGTAGACATTTTGAAGCACACACCTTAGATACCAAGGGACTCGGTGTTCTAGAAAAAAAGTTCTGCTCTTACTCAACAAAAAGTGGAATCCTCCTTTGGAGAGGCTTTAAACAGGACAACGAAGCTATTTACAGGCCAGAAACAGAGGCTGTATCAACACAGAGCGTTGTGTGCCTGATGAGGTAATTCCCCATGTGTCCGTGCAGAGAGGGGTGAGGTGAGGCGAAGCAGCTGGTTGCAGATGGAGCACAAGTTTACTCTCCGCCTTTGCTTTATGAAGCATAGCACCTCACTAAGAGACCCTTGCCTCATTTAACCTACTGTCGACTAGCCTCACAGGTGGTAACAACTCATCCACATGCATCAGTTAATGGCGCTATTAGTTGTGCGCTCACTAAGGGGAGTAAAAACACACTGATACAAAGGAGTGACATATGCACCAAGATAAGGTAATGATCACTTCACCTTTGCCTATTCGCTTTGTTCATCAATTCAGAGGAGAAATAGCACCAGACATTGTAAAGATAAAGACTTTTCCCCAAAAGGGATTTCCCATGCACCCCGCTGCAGCCACTCTCACCAATCATGTCTGATATCAAGGACATGGGAGGCTAGAGAAGAGAGATGGTTCTTACTGGGTGCCGTTTGTCTTAGCCTGTTTATCTAGGTCTCATAGATGTATATGTCACTGCGGCACACTGGTGAGCAAGCATGGTTCCCAGAGGTTTGCAGCTGGATAAGTGCATCAATACATCACCTTCCCCAGCTGACTGGGATCATTTGAGGAATGAGAGGAGAGGAAAGAGGAAGCAAAGGATCCAACACATTATTCAAACCTATCTCGACAACACATAGTCTCCTGATCATCGTCTACTATTCTGCGTGTGTGTGTAAGCACAAATATGGACTGTAGTAAAGCGTGATTAATGGTGGGAAATTAATTTCTCACTACTGTGATATGACAAAACCATATTCAGCTATAAAAGACAAAAAAAATGCAATTGCAAAATACAGTGTTTCAGTGAGTGCAATCATCAACCTATTGGTGGAGAATGATGTGTTGAAAAAAATCCTCATCATGCTGTGTTTCACTACAGAGGCTACAACTTATTGCCATATTTCCAGAGACAAGATGATTTATGATAAAACATTGGGTTAGCTGTGATCCTGTGGGAGAAAATGTGAAATGCAAGTTGTTTCCTGGCAAATAACAGATCAGTTCACATGCAACTTGTTGAACCATAAAGCCTTTGAGCAACAGCTGCAGAGGAAAAGGAGCCAAGAGCCATGAAATGACTAAACAGCATCAACATGCTGTTTGCCCTGAGGTAATCATGTATTTTGCCCTGAGTTAAAATTGCAGTCTGTTGTCTGTGGTATTCAGGGTAGCTCCAAACTTGATAGGCCGTCGACCCCAGGAATCAGACATTTCTCCGTGCTGTAAGTCCATGTTGTAAAAACATTGGCATGTGTTACATGACTGAAAATGTAACTGGCTTTTCTTGCCAACATGAATATCCTGGCAAACACGTCTGTACACTGTACCTACCTGTGTCTATAGGCCACTGTGCACCTGTTGAATTTTCTAGCAGTTTACTTTCTTGCTCTCTTGTGGTTGTGGTGGAGGCAGCCCACAGTTGCTCAATTTATCAAACAGGTTATTATATAAATCTCCATATCTGACCATCTGTCTTTTATCACTTCAACTTCACATGACCACCTACACTATTTCATAACATTTAAACTCCAGATTTTATCAGATGACTTCCTGGTTCATTTCCTTGGAGATGGCAATCCCTGGACACTTTCTGATGACTTTTTTCCTACCTACGGATAATTTCGATTTGACTTTTTCTTTCTTCTCCACCTCCTTTTTCTTTCACTCTTTGCTCACCTGCTCTATTCACCAACATGACAAAAGGCTAAACATGGTCTGGATGTGCTTCAGAGCTGACCTCCAGAATCTTTACCTGAGAAGCATCTTCATTTATGAGGAATGTGGACAGGACCTGAGTATGATGGTCTACCTGTGGTGCCACTAGATGCCTTATATTTAAAATACAAATATATCTTAATGTTAAAACTGAGTTATTATTGTTAAAATGAGGCACCAATCACTGCTGCATTATTCTGTGAGGCTGTCAGCTCTGCGACGTTAATGAATCTTAAACTGCCTTCAGAGGGAAACTGTCACCAGGCTCAGAGATACGGCTGCTCCAGGAGGATCGCTCAATCTGTCAACCAGTACAGGATACTTTTAAAATGACTTACTTTTTAAACTATAAAGTATTAATGATGGCTGCCACCCACAGTCTGCGTGTAGTGAGTTAGACTCTCTCAGTACCAGTTGCCATAAACAGTATCCCTGACTCTGGCACACAGGATGATCTAAAGCAGATCTGATGAGGCATAACAAACTTACAGGGTGGCCAACTCTAACACCGTGGACACAAAACAAATCTCCTGTTAATTAAAACTGTTGCTGGGGATTTTATTTCTTGTCCACGCTGATAGTCCTGGTTGCCACTGTGAGCACGAACACATGTTCACGGATCCCCCACTCCTGCCACCCATCTTGTAATTATCCCCTCTGTAAACAGAAGTAGAAGATGGGTCATGTGCTTAAGTTTGGGAAAGTCCTCGATCTGTGATTCTTGTGTGTTGAAGCGCTAATTAGAGCTTCTACATATGAATCCTTGCTTTACCTGTCACAGGAAGTCATATTCAGGATTATTGAACGTTGTACTAACTGTTTCCTGTAATTTTCAATGTAGGGCTATTGAGATGTCACATAATTACCTCACTGCTACATGAGGTTTTACATTATGTTTTTATTCTCATCGCACTGGCCTCATGAACATCATATTCCTTCACTGCACTCATGTGAATAAATATGAATGAGGAACAAGTGCTCTGGGAAAAATATTGGAACTGAGTTACTGTGCCTAGAGGTTAATGAGCTCCATCGCTCAGAAGTGGATCGATGACAGTGAGATGTGTAGCGTTCTGCCAAGTGATCACACTGAGACAATGATTACCTCACCTTCTGCACTTGTCATTGCTTGTTTTTGATGATAGAAAAATGACGAATATCTTGAAAGCCTAAATGCTTTTTTTCTGTCAGAAAAAAAAAGCTTTTGTTTCAAGTCTTTGTGTTTTTCTTCTGATCTTGTTGAGAAGAAAGGAACCACTGATTTATTCTTACAATGGGCTGCTGATCCTGATCACATAGATCTGCAGGTGACTCTACACATTACGAAACACAGTCACTGCAAAGTTAGAGGTAAATTACATCATAGGACAATTTGTTGGAAGCAAGGTGGTGATATTGATATTAGATAACAAAATGAGTATACATGATTTACTCTGTGATCTAGATGAATTGCAGAGTGCTGATTCACTGTGTTGCTTACGTAACTCGGAGCTCTATGTTCCACAGAAACCAAATGTGAAGCATCATATTGAGATATGCCCTGAAGGCAATGGGAGAGTTAAATTCTGTAATGATAATTGGGAAAGGTTTTCTTCAGGACAAAATGTCTATGGAGCTGTGTTGAGTTTAAAATAGTTGAGTGAAAAGCTTTCGGCATTCGGCTTCCAGATCTGTCCCAGAAGCAGACAGTGGTTAAAGCATGTCTGCTGCACATCACAGATAGAGAGGATCAACTTATCACTTTATGTTGTCTTTACTGGAGAGGGACTCCTCTGACGACTGCTGAGACATTTACACACACATTCAGACACACACACACAGACTATTCCTATAAACCTATCCACTAGCAGAGAGTGGGGCAGGAAGTGAAGTGTGGGGGGTGTAGCCTGCAGTCTGACAAAGCATGAATGTGATTAATGTCTTTTTTTGTTTTCTTTCTTTCTTTTTTTTGTTGGCTATGACATGATTAGCTAAAGAAAACCAGAAATAACATTTAATATCAGACCTTCACTTCTCATACAGAGATCCTGCTCTCAGTCAGCACACACAACTCCCCCACTATAACCTGGCCAGGATTAAAAAATAATTTCCGGAGTCATTAATTCACAAGTGTTCCTGTGCTGATACTTATTTCCTAGAAATATAGAAACATCTGCCAGTGGACCCCCACAGTAGAATTTCCTGAATTAAAATAGTTGAGTTTCACTTTCTTCAGTTATTTAGTTATTCTTAAACAATTTGGACCTCTCAAGACCAATAATAATAACAAATCTATCATTATTTGAACCCCCTCACAATGTTAATGACCTTTTATAGTGTGCTTCATGCAATTCACATCCACCTAAACATCTGAATATCCTCCTCTTTGCTGTGACCGGAGATTCTTTGAACAGGGAATCAGGGAATCATCACAAAAACTTTATTTAGAAACCACACAGCTGCTTTCCTCTTCTGCTTACTATAAACCGGAACAGGGGGTTCATGGGAATCATAACAGATGAGATGACATGATGGCGAAATATCCCAGAAGACTTTGCTTTGGTTCTCATGGCCAAACAGGGCCTCTTAGGTCAGACCCTACTTCCTCTGCTCAGTACAACACACAGCTTTACAAGCAAACCCAGAATCCCATCGCATAAATAAAACTGCCTCATTAGAGGCTAAA